GATGTCTCTTCATTGTTTGTGATTCTTAGACACGACCAGGTCACGAGAGCTTTGGAATCCTTCGCCATTTGAGGGTCTTCTCTGATACCCTTTTCTTCTTTCTTCGCTGTATTGACAGATTTTTCTGCTTCATTTTTCTTTTTCTTCTTCAATTGATACACATAATTGAATATCATAGTGAGAATGCCAATTCCTGCTAAATCCCCAACTGTAATCCCTGCAACTGTCCCTGGATTTAGCCCCATCTGTTGTTGATTAGGAGAATTCGGAGACTCATTAGGTGAATTTGTTACCGGAGTGGAGTCAATTGTTCTGGGTATGACCACAATTGCTGGAGAAGTGTTGTTTATTGTGACATTAGGTGGAGTTGAGAGCATTGAAGGGATTATACAAAGCTTCTTGAGTGGTTGGCCGCAGATATCCGTGTTTCCGGCGAAGAACTTTGTTTTCTGATTATCTAAGGCCATAGATTGTGGGATTTTGCCGATGAGTTTCTTGAATGAGAGATTTTCCATGAACTGCCGACTAATGTGTTCTGTTGATGTGTGTGAGAGAGAGAAACAGATTGAGAGGAAGACTTATCTCTGGTTTCTGGGCAATTGAATGAGAGAGAGAAGGTTATGTTGAGACTTGAGATAGAGAAGAGACAAAGAGAGAATGTTTGTCAGGGCGTGTATCATTTCAGTTTTTTTAATTATTAAAGTTACTTACATGAACTGCCACGTCTGTTCTACCAAACAAATCGGCCGAAGTCATCGGCCCATCTATCACGCCCATTAACGAATATTAATAATAATACTCTTGTAAATATAAGATAGTTAACAGTCTAGAGTCACAGCCTATAAATGCTTAATAACCAATCAATTGCATGTACATCACTGAACTAATGGTATGGACACACATCAGTGGACCAATACCATTCTTCCACATCAGCAATCACTTCATTTGCTAACTCGTATATAGAGTTATATAGAATGGTATTTGTACATTAATCACCAACATTAAATGTTTATGTGAAAGAATAATTGTAAATGATATATATATATATATATATATATATATATATATAAAATTAATATAAAATGAGAAAAGTCAAGAGAGATTAAATGTAATATATATATAAAAGATATTGTTAATCATTCGATCATCAAGTAATTAAGGAAAAATGATAAAAATGATTATGATAAGAAACGGTAAAAATAAATAAAAAATATTTTATTACGATGGTGAATTATCATTTTCAATCCAAACATGGTCGCTTAGTTTGTAATTTTGAAAAAAATTACAAATTGTACAAAATATTTTAAACAGTTTTATGCTTGATTCAATTTTATGAAAACTCAATTATAAAAAAATCTATTAACAAACTAATTTCTATTTTTTTTTTCTGTCTATTTTTCCCAGAAATGTGGAGCAAATGTACAGTGAGGGGGCAGATCCTAAAGCAAGAGCCTAGCCCAAAGAAACAAGCATATAAGGCAAACATGAATTGAACCTAAATTAGGGGTGCACAAAAGAATCGTGGAACCGGAACTGGAATTGTGAGAATCGGACTAAAATGAGGAACCGTTAAGATCGATCTTTATATTCTCAGATCAATTCATATTTTTTTACTCTAAATACTACTACTTATTAATGATTTTTAATAAAGAAGATGATGAAATTTGTCATTTCAGTATTATTTATTTCTGTCAGTTTTTTATGTGTACGTTTCAACTCGATCATCAAAGCTATATATTCTGATTAATTAGCATTAATCAAGCTGGCGTAGTGCATGAACTAACTGTGTGCTTGCTTAGGAATATCTTTTGGGAATTGAAAGTTTATGATACATATGGTGAAGACGGGTTATAGAATTTCATCGATCTGTATTTTGTTTTAAGATAAATTAAAATAATTTTGAATTAGTCAACTTGGTCAACGGTTCTATGAAACCGAACCGTGAATGATGGGTTGTTCCTGTTCCAGAGTTCAACGGTTCCGGTTTTATTTTTAAGGAACCGTTAAGATCAGTTCCGGCAAGAACCGGACCGAACTGAATCGTGTGCACCCCTAACCTAAATACACAAACAATGGCCCAACAAGGATGCGGAACTGAGCGCTAAAACAAAAATTCAATCAAAATAGCCAAAGTTGTTTTGATACCGATTATTAATTTTTTTAAAGGATAAATTATACAAATATTCCTGCAATTTGGACAAATATTACACAAGTATGTACCCAACAACCCCTACACTCATTTTTTATTTATTTATTTACATAAGGGGATAACAGGGGTGGATGGATAGGAAAGAGAAACTAAGAAAAGAGATGAAGTAGAAAATTAATTTTTTTAGATTCTATAATATATTTTGTATTATTAAAATATATTACATATAAGTGAATGATTGACTTTTTATAGTCTTAAGGGATGTCAGAGTAATAAATCTCAAATGCTCAACTCATGTGAAATTTGCTCAAACTTTAAGGGTGCTAAGTGTAATTTACCTTTTTTTTTTTTTTTTTTTTTTCTTTATGCCCAATCTAGTTGTAAGAACGATTTTTTATTTTTAATTTTATTTTATGTCCATCCTTGTTGTAAGAACGATTTGTTATAAGCTTTTTTTTATGCCCAACCTTTTTAAGAACGATATTTTATTTTATCTATTTATTTATTTATTTTTGCAAAGCTTGTTATATTTTATAGATGTCCAAGTTGTATATTTTATTTATTAATTTTTTTAAGCAATATTTTCTTTATTCTCTAAAATATTAATATTATTTATTATTTTTAAAACATTTGAATAGTTTTATTATACTTTAGAAATTTAATTGTTAGATTTATAAATTGAAAAAATGAATTCAATTTTTACATAAAATTGAAATGGCAAAAAACTCGTTCTAATTTAAGAAAAATGAATTTATGTGATTTTTCTTTTTAAAAAAATAGCCCTATCAGTTTTTTCTATCATTTTCCTTTTTATTTTTCCTTCATTTATTCCAGCTGACTCAGTTGCTGAGTCTGTTGAGGTAAGGCCTCGTCTACGCAATTCATTCTCGTCCTTCCAATCAGTTTGAACTTTGAGCACAAAAGTTCTCTCACGATAATGCTTTGAAGCTCTGCAACTCTCTTTCTCTCTCACCTCGCTCGCAATCGCTCCAACATGGAGACAATTGTTTCCAGTTCGATGACTTTTGTCAGATTACCAGTCTCTCCGGTTCTTACTGTGACATCGACCTGTAAATTCCAGACGAGTTGCTTCACAGCTTCGCCGAAGAGGAGGCTATCGTTGTGTCTTCAGAATCGAAGAACACTAGGGTTAGGGTTTCGTCGGTCTTCGGCACTTCGCAAATCAGCAATAACTTGTGGTGTCACGGAGATTAACGAGAGCCAGTTCTCGGACACTGTTTTGAGGTCTGATCGTCCGGTTCTCGTTGAGTTCGTCGCCAATTGGTGTGGTCCTTGCCGTTTGATCTCTCCCGCCGTTGAATGGCTTGCTCAGGTTCGAATCATTCCCTATTTCTTTCGGTCTCTAATTCAGTTTCTATTTGAATTGAAATTCATTTTTCAGTTTCTGCAATAAACGAACAGATCAATTGGGTGATTAATCATAGGATTGCATTGATTTTAGAAGTAATTTAAACGAATATTGGGTTTTATTGCATTAATTTTAATTTACACAATATTTAATAAGTCAGTGAGAGTTTATGTACCATGAGACTTCATGTTAAACTATTCTAGTACCTCAGAATAGATTTTTTTCCAGTGTTTATGAAGGTCTACGATTCTATGGATTGAATATGTTAAATTGTTCATCTTAGTTTTGCTTTCCAGTTTGTCGTTCACGTTTTTTAGTCTGAAATTCTACAATTTTAGGTAATACTGAAATTCGAATTATTTTTCTAAGAATTGACACAGTTGATATCTTGTTTTGAGTAGATATATATATATATATATATATCTCTTCATACATACATATGTATGTGTGTGCATTCATAGAATTATCTTGTATGGTCTTTACAAAATTGTAGAATTAGAATACTGCTTAGAAATTTAATCATATCCAATGTCATTTACGTACGAGTCTCTAATTAACTCAATCATGTCGAGAATTAAACTTAAATTCCTTACGAGCTTGTAACAATCCAATAAATATTTAATCTACTTAATTATGGCTAGATTATTCCCTTACCTTTGGTGCTTTATTTATAATACTTCTCTTCTTCTTTTGTAATTTTTTAACCTACTCTTCAATTGACTGTTGAGCATTATTACGAAGTTCTCTCTTTTCTGCTTCTTTCTTTCCCATTTCCTTGCTTTTCAGTCATGTATCAGAGCGTTGTAACTTCTGATTCTGATGATTTATTTTTTTGAGAGCAAGAGTGAAAATGTTCGAATTTTGATGAAGATGATAGGATTAGATGACTTAGTAATCTGTATTTGAAGTTATATTTTTCCCCCAAAACTGATATTTATATTATTCATCAGGAATACAAAGAAAAACTAATAGTTGTAAAGATTGATCATGACTCGAATCCTCAACTAATTGAAAAGTACAAGGTTTATGGCTTGCCGACTTTGATCCTCTTCAAAAATGGGCAAGAAGTTCCAGAAAGCAGGAGAGAAGGTGCTATTACAAAGGTAAAGCTCAAAGAGTACGTTGATACTGTGTTGGAGTCGGTCTCTGTCACATAGTTTCTTTAGAAGTTTCTTCACCAGCAATGTTGTTCTCTTCTTCAAGTTGCAACACGGCTGAGAAAATGTGTGAGTAGGAAAAAGTTCTTTTCCATTTGTTCTATTCTTGCGATCTACGACATGGTATGTAATTCCATCCTGCTTGTATATTTTTAGCTGTTCCAAGTGTGAAATTATTGAAAAACTAGATGTAAGCCATATAAGTTGATCAAAGTTTCTACGTTTGTGGCACTTCTGGTTCTCTTAGATAGTCTGTGTGTAGAGCACTCTCTATACAGTAGCAACATAGAGCATGGTATTCTATTTCATGTTGAAATTAGTCCTGTAATATGCACGGTCAACAGGAACACTGTGTGAAAAAACATTGAAAACGAACACCAGAAAACCAAAGATAAATTCCATTTCATGATTCCATTATTTGTATATCTATGGACAGGAGAGCAAAATCTAATGAACAAGAACATAATGCGTGACCTTGCTTGATGTGCATGCCCTATCCTCAATTATTGTACCTGATTAGTTGAGGACCTTGTTAGACATACACCAAAACTAGAACTTAATCTATTTGGTGACCTCATCGTCTGGGATAAATTTTCCCCAGAACCAATGTGCCTTCCACACTCTGTTCATGTCTTCAATGGGGACGTTCCTGGTCTCGGGCAAGAAGAAGTAGACGAAAACGGTCATTATGAGCACAAATCCGCCAAAGAAGAAGAAGAGAGCGAACTTCATGGTGCAGAGCAAGGAGAGGAAGGCCTGAGCTATGGCAAAGGTGAAGAACATGTTCATGGAGACGTTGATGGACTGCCCAGCCGATCGAATCTCAAGTGGACAGATTTCACTCGGTGCCAACTACCCCAATGCACCCCAAGACCATGCGAACCCGGATACGTATAAGCATATAAGCACCAATGCAAGATTGCCATACCCTTTGCTGATGCTTCCTACTCCAGCGACCCAAACACTTTTCCTATAATGGTTCCTACAGCAATCTATAATGAAACAATTCAAATATACACAACCATACACATTATGAATGTTAAATTAATATCATTTTCATATTGATGAACAAATTCCTGGCAAATGAGCATCTGAATGCCACCTTCAAGGAACAATGCCCTTCTCCCAAACTTGTCGACACAGAAGATTGACGACAATGTAGCAAATACATTGATAAGGCCAGTTATAACAGCACTCAAAAGGGAGGCATCGTTACCAAAGCCCAGTGTCTTGAAAAGAACAGGAGCATAAAACATGATGACATTGATGCCGGTGAGTTGCTGGAAGAACGGTATGAGGTGGACCATGACAAGTTGAGGCCTATATCTCCGCTGCATGATGTTCTTCCAGGGGTGTTTCACTTGCTTTGCAGCCTCGCTCGCCTCAACCAAGTCTTGGAACTCAGCGTCAACATGTTCAGTGCCTCTGATTTTCTGCAGCATCCCTCTTGCCTTGTCCTTTTCGCCTCTCTCTATAAGGGAATTGGGAGTGTCTGGCAGGAAGAAAGCTCCCAGTGTCATCACGATGGCAGGGACAGCTGCGAGACCTAAGGAAATTCTCCAACCGTTTCCTCCCTTGAGCTTGGAAGTGCCATAGTTCACGAAGTTGGCAATGAAAAGACCGACTGTAATAGCCATTGAACAGCCAATGTTGAGTGCACCTCTAATTTTTGCTGGTGCCATTTCTGATAGATACACCGGCACACACTGTGTCAACAATGATCGGCTAAATTTAGGTTTAACAAGACTAAAGAGTTTTTTGTTGGACATTATTTATTTTTTTAAAAAAAATCCATCATTGTTTACCTGATTAGCAGATCCAACACCAACACCTAGCAATAGACGACCAACGATACGCATTGCAACATTTTTGGCAAGACCATTAAGGATAGCGCCAGCAAGAAACACAGTCCCTCCAAAAAGCATGGAGACCCTCCGGCCGAAGACCCTCGTTGTTGCAGAGGCAAAGATGGAAGCTATCAGTGCAGCTATGTAAAGCGAAGAGGTGAATGGTTGAAGTATCTGACTTTCAAATTTTCAGTACTGATTATAATGGTGACCAGAGAGATTTTTCTCCTTCAAGTACACTGATGGGAAAAACTTCCTCAAGAATTCATCCATGGATGTCACACCTCCTGCATAACATTGAATGTACAATCATGCATTCACTATAAATCAAGCATTCTATTATAATTTTCACGTAGACAAAACATATTAATTAAAGGGAAGAAAAAAAAAGCACAAGTAATAGGGTTTAACGAAGAACTCTGTTAAAAACTACATGAATTCAAAACCAAATTTTTTTTTTTTAAACTACATGATCACAGAACCAAGGCATATATATGTATCTGTATATATATATATATATATATATATATATATAAGTAACCACCTGAGATTCCAATGTCGTAGCCGAAGATGAGACCACTGGTGGCGGCAACAAAACACGTGACCACCACGAATGCGGTGACACGGCCCTCATACTCTTTGGAACCATTTTGAACAACACCACCTCCTCCTGCCATTGTAGCGCCAAACTAGGGTGACAAGAAACCAAAAGATCTCACAGTTGAAGCTTTATTGTTTTGATGACAGACCCTTTGATTTCTTTTCTTCTCAAGTCTCTCTTCCTTGCTACATTCAGTGAGGAAATCTTGTTTCCCTTCCTCTCCTCTCACTGACCTAGCGATTAGGTTTATCTCAAATGAAGTGATTGAACTTTATCAAGGTTTTGAAATGGTAGGTAGCCCAGAAAATTCGGGAAATCTCGACACTTGTTAGTTAGTTAAAAACAAAACACGCCATCGCCATCTTAGTATGTGGCTATTCTTATTCTCATCCAATAATATTTATTTTCGCTATCAATTTCATTCAAACTAACCAAGCCAAGGATTGGTGGGTTGGAATCTTATTATTAGATGCAATGATCAGTCTCCACTTTCGTTTGGATGACAGCAGAGACGGAACTAGCTAAAAGGCGGCTTAGTGGGGTAGCTAAAAAGGCTTAGTGGGCAAGTGCCCCCACCCCCAATTTTGCAACCAACTAGTTAGCGTGGTACATGAGTTAGACCTAATTCTTGATATGTCGGATTAACGGACAGATTGTACAACTTACAATGACAATGTTTACAGAACTTTAACATTAGTTTATACACTATATTGACGTCTTCTGGAGTTTTAAGTAAATTAAATATCATAAAATACAATTGTTATTTTGACTGATTTTGAGCTTAAAAAGTTAATAATACTCTTACATTAATTTATCATTTCATTACAATACATGAGACGCTCTCTACTCCTCTTCTTTTAATAATACTCTTGCATCATATTGGTACAATACATGGTACTGATGATCTGTTTTTTTGGAGTGCAAGAGTGAATATGTTCGAATTTGATGAAGACGAACATATGATTAGATATCAGGAATACAAAGAAAAATTAACAGTCAGTAAAGTAAAAGATTGATCATGACTCAAATCCTCGACTAATTGAAGAGTACAGGGGAGAAGCTGCTATTAGAAAGGTAAAGCTTAAGAGTACAATATCTATATATATATTTCCGGTAAATAAAATCACTTACATAATTGCGGTGTTGAAGTAGGTTTGTGTCACATAACTATGTGACATGATTCTCCTCGGTTATATAATAACCTGATTGAGGACTTAAACCCAAAACTAAAATTAACACATCTCTTTGGGGACGACCTCATCGTCCGGGATATATTTTCCCCAGAACCAATGTGCCTTCCACACTCTGTTCATGTTTTCGATGGGGATGTTCTTGGTCTCAGGCAAGAAGAAGTAGACAAAAACAGTCATTATGAACACGAATCCGGCAAAGAAGAAGAAGAGGCCGAACTTAAAGTTGCAGAGCATGGAGAGGAAGCACTGAGCTATGATGAAGGTGAAGAACATGTTCATGGAGACGTTGATGGACTGCCCAGCTGATCGAATCTCAAGTGGAAAGATCTCACTCGGTACCAACCATCCCAATGCACCCCAAGACCAGGCGAATCCAGCCACGTATAAGCATATAAACACCAATGCAAGATCACCAGCCGCTTTGCTGATGCTTCCTACTCCACCAACTCCAAACTCTTTGCCTATAATGGCTCCTACAGCAACCTAAAATGAAACAATGTATGTTAATTTATAGAGAATAATAGGGAGTCCGACAGCAGACACATCCAATTAATTTTATGTAAGGGCTCCTCGCTCACATAAATTTTTAGAATAGATAGATACCTGGCAAATGAGCATCTGAATGCCACCTTGAATGAACAATACCCTTCTCCCGAACTTATCGACACACAAGATTGACAGCAATGTAGCAAAGACATTAACAATGCCAGTTATGACAGCACTCATAAGGGAGGCATCACTACCAAGTCCCAGTGTCTTGAAAAGAACAGGAGCGTAAAACATGGTGACATTGATGCCGGTGAGCTGTTGGAAGAATGGTATGAGGAGGACCATGACAAGTTGAGGCCTATATCTCCGTTGCCTGATGTTCTTCCAGGGGTGTTTCACTTGCTTTGAAGTCTCGCTCGCCTCAACCAAGTCATGGAACTCCGCGTCAACATTTTCAACGCCTCTGATTTTCTGCAGCATCCCTCTTGCCTTGTCCTTGTCGCCTCGCTCTATGAGGGAATTGGGAGTGTCTGGCAGGAAGTAAGCCCCGAGTGTCATCACGACAGCAGGGACACCCGCGAGACCTAAGGAAATTCTCCAACCAATGCCTCCCTTGAGTTTGGACGTGCCATAGTTCACTAGGTTCGCAATGAGAATCCCTATTGTAATGGCCATTGAAAAGCCAATGTTGAGTGCACCTCTTATTTTTGCTGGTGCCATTTCTGACAGATACACCGGCACAGACTGTGTCAACAATTAAATTTAAGAGGCCTTTGTTGGATATTATTCATTGGAATCACACAAAAAAAATTGACCGTTATTTGCAGCATTACTCATATATATATGTGTGTGTGTGTGTGTGATTTTATTACCTGGTTGGCATATCCAACACCAACACCTAGCAATATACGACCAATGATGAGCATTGCTACATTTTTGGCAAGACCATTAAGCAGAGAGCCAGCAAGAAACACCATCCCTCCAAAAAGCATGGAGATCCTTCGTCCGAAAACCCTGGTTGTTTCGGAGGCAACGAATGAAGCTACGAGTGCAGCTATGTAAAGTGAAGAGGTGAACAGTTGAAGTATCTGGCTATCAAATTTGCAGTACTGATTATAATGGTGACCAGAGAGATTTTTCTCCTTCAAGTACACTGATGGGAAGAACTTTTCCAGGAATTCATCCATGGATGTTACACCTCCTGCATAACATATCATATCAAATGTAATTTATCCGTTTATGGTTCATAATCATATTACTAATAACTATCAAAACATCAATTATAAATCAAATATTTAATTATATATATTTTCATGTATCCAAAACTTATTAAAGGAAAAATCTAACCATTTAGCATGATTAGTCTCAACAATCTTATTTTTTTTTTTTTTCTTGCAGATATGGATTGACATCCCCAGTTGTGAAAGTGCCTTAAACTAGGTTGCTAATGAGAACTTTACCATAATAATAATAAAAAAAACGTACGTAAATTCAAAAACTTTTTTCCCTTCAGTTTGGAAAGAAACATGACCATGAGAACCACCGAAAATTTGACTTGAATGGTATTTCCTCAGACTTCTCATAGGAGAGATTGAAAGTTCAAGCTCGAGTAAGGTGTGTGAATATATATATGTGTGTGTTATACAAGCTTTATGTAAATATTAAAAGTTGCACCCTTCTTTACTGATTAATAAAAGTATATACCAACCAGATATTCCGATGTCATAGCCAAAGATGAGACCACCGGTGGCGGCAACAATACATGTGATCACCACGAATGCGGTGACGCCGCCCTCGTACTGTTTGGAACCCCGTTGAACAAAAACTCCTCCTGCCATCTTGTAGCCAAACAACAGTAGTAGTACGGAAAGGAATCTTGATTTCTTTTCTTCTCAAAGTCTCTCTTCTCCTCCTTGGTACATGTAAGTGAGGTGAGGGAGCCAAGTTTGACCAGTTTTATTGAGGTTCTCGAGCGGTATGTCACGGGCGTGACAGGTAGGTGGGTATCCCAAATCTTGGAAAGTTTGAACACTGTTGTTATCTGAAAGTAGAACACACCTCACATGTGGCTATTCTAGTCTCTCATAGTATTATTTTTGGCTATCAATTTCATTCCACTTAACTGAACAGTAAGATACTAGATAAGACGGATATGACATGTCATTAAATAAATAAAAAATTAATTAATCGGTAATATAATGAATTCCACCACTTAAAAAATTACTTACGATCACTTTTTATTTATTAATTTATTATATTTCCAGTAGTATAGCATACCAAAAATACCTACTCACCTAACAGAGAACTATTACGGGTGGATAAGTTCAAATACGAGAAATTTATCTCCATGATTGATTGGACAACAGTGACACTGACGAATCTAGCTAAGGCCTAGTGGGGCAAGTGCCGTTTCAATTTTGCATGTTTATATGATCACGTGTTGTGCATCTTTGGTAAGACAGCAATGCGGATAAAAATAAAAATAAAAAATTATTTGCATGAGTATAATTTGGATGAAATTATGTAATAATTTCTTCACAAGGTGTGGCTCTCTCCTATTATTTTTTCAAATATCTATTAATGAAAATTATTTAACATTATTAATTGTGATTTTGTGTAGCAAAATTCAAGCACGCCCTTCTTAATTTTAAATATTTTCTATTTATAGCTATTATTTTTTTATTTAGGACTGTCCCAAAAATTAAAGAAAAAAAAGAGTATATTTCCATAATTAATTGATAATTTTAATTGCATTAATTGCAAATTACTTTAAAAAGTTCTAATATCTAAAGCGAATAACTTTTTATTTTTATGTTTTTTTAGAGTATGTTGTATCGATCTCATAATATACGTACTATTTAAATTAAGAGTGCGATTTGAAAGTGAGACATCTCTCAATAACACAGACCATAAACCAAACAATCTTTCATTCTATCATAATTTATCATATAAATTCATGTGATTAGAACAAACGCAACATTTCTTTTCACAGAATCTGCCTTAATAGGTAAAAGTATATATGTTATCCATTTTTTGTAATGGTTTTTTTGGTTGTTTTTATCCAAACTCTTAATATGGATTAGGATTCTTGATTGGTCAACCTCTCCATTTTCATTTTATCGTTGGTGTTTGATTCAAATTCATCATCATCACTGTTGTCCCAATTGTCTATTGGATTTTTCAAACAGTATGGCTATCCAACTCTTCCTCAGACAATCCTGAGTACGAATTAGGCAAATTGTTTATACATACAAAATAATATAGAACACCATAAAAAGTCATGGTGTTGTGGGCCTTTAGATAAAAATATAGATTTTGTGCTTTTAATTTTTATGGAGATTCGTAGTGAGTGAGTTTGCTACTGCTAGACTATGGAATTTCTGATTTAGGGTTTTATGATAATTTGTGATTAAAGTCTAACACAAATTGAATTAGAGTTTTTACATGTGCGTTATAAGAATGTAAAATTAATTGAAGTTCTGAGATCTAGGATTTTATAATAATTTGTGATTAAAGTCTAACACAAATTGAATTAGAGTTTTTACATGTGCTATTTTGGTGGAGAAAAATATTTTATCACCTTTATAGATGATTTTTCACGCTATGGATATATCTATTTGTTGCATGAAAAATCTCAAGTCACTCTTGAAGTATACATAAATGAGGTTGAAAGGCAACTAGATAAAAAAGTGAAAATAGTAAGGTCAGATAGAGGTGGTGAATATTATGGGAAGTATGATGAAACGGTCAATGTCCTGAACCGTTTGCTAAATTCCTTGAAAAGACATTTGTGCTCAATACACTATGCCAGGCACGCCATGGAAAGGCTTAATCGTACTCTTATGGAAATGGTTAGGACACGTGCACCACTAACTAGCATATATTATATATAATTATAGTTGTGGGCCTTTAGATAAAAATTAAAAGGGTTAATTAGAATGACATCTATTGAGGTTTGTCATAATGTCAATCATATACAAGTTAAGCATTTTTTGAGCAATGAGACCCTGTAAGAATTTTGATCCAAACAATCCTTAAAATGTTTAAAAAGATAAATTGCCTTTCATTGTGAAAAATCAAAACCCATGAAAAGTCATTTTTGCCCTTCAGTGAACCTTACCCTATAGGATATTCATTCTTTCTTTTCCAAACACGGCGTATGCATCCGTTCTCTCTCTCTAAGTTCTGCAAAAATGAAACGCTAATTCTACCCCTACATCTCTTTTTCTCACCACCACCATGGTTGATTTGTGCTATGGGTGGTATGAGAAGGAAGTGGATCGCTACGATGGAAGTTGTATTGGACTAGGGTTTGTAGGATTTTGTGAAGAAATTAGATTGATTTATGGCTTCGTGGACCGCGGCGGAGGTGGCGACGAGAGGGTTGCATCTCTGTTTGTTCTCTTTGCTCCTCTGTTTCTTCAAACTTGGGTCGACGATGCTTTCCCGGTGTTTCAAGATTCTTAATTGATTATTATCAGCCCTTCATTGTGTATGTATATTTGTGTATGCATTATTTGTGTATGTGTGTTGGCAATCGGTCTTATATAGAAAGAAAAAAGGAATTTATTTAGGGGAAAAAGAATTTATTTAGAAAAGGAGAGTTAAAAAAGGAATTTATTTAGAAAGGAATTTATTTAGAAAAAAATTTATGTGAGAGATTTTATATTATCTGTATATATAGAAAATAATTATAAAATCATGATAATCTCTCTCTATATATGTACACATCAATACATATATTACACACAAACACAATTATCCAACTTTCCTTTTCTAAATCAATCCTTCAACACCCCAATTACAATCACAAACCGATTTTTCAACTTTCCTTGTCTAAATCAATCCTTCAACACCGGATTGTAATTAGTTCACCTTTACTTTTCTAAATCACCTCTATTGGAATCATAAACAGATGCATACTATCAAAATAATATATACATAAACACACGCACCCAATTCCTTAATTCAATTACATGATTTTTACTGTTTTAGTATATATTAATATATATACATGATTTTTCAACTTTCCTTGTCTACATCAATCCTTCAACACCGGATTGTAATTAGTTCATCTTTACTTTTCTAAACCACCTCTATTGGAATCATAAACAGATGCATACTATCAAAATAATATATACATAAACACACGCACCCAATTCCTTAATTCAATTATATGATTTTTATTCTTTTACCATTAAATTACATGATTTATATATATATATATATATATATATATATATATACACACACACACATATATTTATCCGTGTGTTCATTCCCTCTTAATATGAGCTGTGGAGTGGTGGTGGTGGGTGGTGGTGGCCTGGAATGATGGGTGTGAAGGTTAAAATTGTAATTATATTATTTAAATTGGGTAACTAATAAGTTAAAGGGTAATAAAGTCATTTCACAATGTGTCAGATCTTGTAGCTGACTGTTGGGGTCTTATGTGAGGGGATGTCATTGTTCAAAATAGGTATATGGTTATCATTATGACAAACTTCAGGTGTTATTATAATTAACCCAAATTAAAATCACAAACTCACTCACTCTGAATCTCGATAAAAATTAAAAGCACAAAATCTAAAACTAGTTTTACACTTTCACCTGACCTCTCAAACTCACTCCGCCTCCCCTCATCAGTCATCTCCTCTCCTCTCCTCTCTTCTCGAGACTCTAAGCCTCTCACTATCTCAAGTTCTTAACTCACTTGTCCCTATCTTCTCATATCACAGTCTCGCGGCGCCGACTAGCCTCTGATTCGTGAATTTGATCGGATCGGTCTCTGTCTTCTCAGATCACAGTCTCACGACGCCGACTCGACTCTGATTTGTGGATTCAGTCGGATCGTTCTTTATCTTCTCAGGTCAATTCGTATTTTTTTACTCTAAATACAACTACTTATTAATGATTTTTAACCAGGAAGATGATGAAATATGTCATTTCAGTATTATTTATTTCTGTCAATTTTTTATGTGTACGTTCCAACTCGATCATCAAAGCTATATATTCTGATTAATTAGCAATAATCAAGCTGGCGTATTGCATGAACTAACTGTGTGCTTGCTTAGGAATATCTTTTGGGAATTGAAATAGTCAACTTGGTTAACGGTTCCATGGAACCAAACCGTGAATGACGGTTCGGTCCGGTTCCAGAGCTCAACGATTCCGGTTCCATTTGTAAGGAACCGGGAACCGGACTGAACTGAACCGTGTGCACCTTTTACCTAAATTCACAAACAATGCCCAACAAGGATGCGGAACCGAGCACTAAAACAAAAATTCAATCAAAATAGCCAAAGTTGTTTTGATAATGATTATTAATTTTTTTAAAGGATAAATTGTACAAATTTTCCTGAAGTTTGGACAAAGATTACACAAGTAAATTTTTTTAAATTTAATACTTTGACGTACCTTGAGGATTGGGTGTACCCAACAACTCCCCCTCCTTCACAACTTGTAAAAAAAATTTAGGAAATGATCAAGTTGCCCCTGCACTCATTTTTTATTTATTTATTTACATAAGGGGATAACCGTGGTGGATATGAAAGAGAAACTAAGAAAAGAGATGAAATAGAAAATTATTATTTTTAGATTCTATAATATATTTTGTATTATTAAAATATATTACATATAAGGGTATGATTGACTTTTTATAGTCTTAAGGGATGTTGGAGTAATAAATTTCAAATACTCCACTAATGTGAAATTTGCTCAAACCTTAAGGGAGCTAAGTATAATTTACCTATTTTTTTATGCCCAATCTAGTTGTAAGAACGATTTTTTATTTTTTATTTTATTTTATGTCCGTCCTTGTTGTAAGAACGATTTGTTATAAGCTTTTTTATTTTTTTATGCCCAACCTTTTTAAGAACGATATTTTATTTTATCTATTTATTTATTTATTTTTGCAAAGCTTGTTATATTTTATTAGGGGTGACAAAATGGGTCAGGAACCATCAACCCGCCCATATTCGCCCGCTTTTTAATGGTTCTGGATGAATTATATTTAATTTGAGGGTCAAGATGGGTTGTGTAACTTTTAACCACTTAATTTGAAGGTCAACATGAGTTAAATATGGTTAACCATATTCAACCCATATTTCACATAATAAACACAAAACACACATCTATAAATCTATTCTATATTGTACTCAACTCATTTTTCTCTCTAAAATTCTCTCACTTACCATCCTTTCTCTCTCTAAATTTATCTCTTATCAATCACTTCTCTCTAAGTTTCTCTCTCTAGAAACTTCTTCTAAAAAAACAAATAATTAAAAAATAATTTTAAAAATTAAAAATTTTGAAACCTTGTGAAAAAATAATTAAAAAATAAAAAATAATTAATTTTTTAAAAAAATAATTAAAAAATAAAAAATAATTTAATTTTTTTTATGAATCACTATATCCAAGATCATAAAATTTCTATGTATTGTTGTATTTGATAAATTTCAAAACTAAACATTCTAACTAATCACCGTTCTTTTTTTCTTCTTGATGTGCACGTTGTTTTATTGTTTTCTTCTTAATGTCTTTCTTTCAACAACCTTTTATATTTTTATGTTTATCCCTATATATAATCCTCTTATTTTTGTGATATTATCTTTCTTTTTTAGTTGCTGTGAAAACTGCTCCAATCTGCACCAACTCAATGTATTAAAAAAATTAAAAATTTGCAAATTGCACAATATTATGAATTTTTTTTTTTTTTTTTTTCAAGAGTAAGAAAACGTTATTTTATTTATTTATTTTAACCTTCACTTTCCTATTTGCACATATCTCTAAAATTTTCTAACCTAATTGTTGTAAAACGCACTTAATAGGATTACTCTTTTAATTTTTTACTGATTTGATTTTAATATATATCTGTAATGGTTGGACTGATTTGTAATTTTGTATCTGGTTCATATATGGGCTCTGCAGTATATTTCTGGAACAGTTGACTGATTTTGTCGTCTAGCTTATTTTATAATTTAAAAGAAATACTTTTAAATTATTTTATAATTACTAATGTAATGTGTTTTACCTCTCAATATAAATGTCTATTACCTCCAAAGTTAAGTTTTATTTTATTTTTAAAATAATTAAGTTGCGTCTTATTAAGACACACATAATGAATAAACGGGTTGAATATGGGTATTGACCCACATTAACCCGCTCATTTTTAATCCAACCCAAATCAGACCCAACCCGCTTATTGGCCTTCCCATTTTATAAATGTCCAAGTTGTATATTTTATTTATTAATTTTTTTAAGCAATATTTTCTTTATTCTCTAAAATATTAATATTATTTATTATTTTTAAAACATTTGAATAGTTTTATTATATTTATAAATTGAAAAAATGAATTCAATTTTCACATAAAATAGAAATGGCAAAAAACTCGTTCTAATTTAAGAAAAATGAATTTATGTGATTTTTCTTTTTTTTACAAAATAGCCCTATCAGTTTTTTCTATCATTTTCCTTTTTATTTTTCCTTGATTTATTCCAGCTGACTCAGTGCTGAGTCTGTTGAGGTAAGGCCTCGTCTACGCAATTCATTCTCGTCCTTCCAATCAGTTTGAACTTTGAGCACAAAAGTTCTCTCACGATAATGCTTTGAAGCTCTGCAACTCTCTTTCTCTCTCATCTCGCTCGCAATCGCTCCAACATGGAGACAATTGTTTCCAGTTCGATGACTTTTGTCAGATTACCAGTCTCTCCGGTTCTTACAGTGACATCGACCTTTAAATTCCAGACGAGTTGCTTCACAGCTTCGCCGAAGAGGAGGCTATCGTTGCGTCCTCAGAATCGAAGAACACTAGGGTTAGGGTTTCGTCGATCTTCGTCACTTCGCAAATCAGCAATAACTTGCGGTGTCACGGAGATTAACGAGAGCCAGTTCTCGGACACTGTTTTGAGGTCTGATTGTCCGGTTCTCGTTGAGTTCGTCGCCAATTGGTGTGGTCCTTGCCGTTTGATCTCTCCCGCTGTTGAATGGCTTGCTCAGGTTCGAATCATTCCCTATTTCTTTCGGTCTCTAATTCAGTTTCTATTTGAATTGAAATTCATTTTTCAGTTTCTTCAATAAACGAACTGATCAATTGTGTGATTAATCATAGGATTGCATTGATTTTAGAAGTAAATTAAACGAATATTGGGTTTTATTGCATTAATTTTAATTTACATACCATATTTAATAAGTCAGTGACAGTTTATCTACCATGAGACTTCATGTTAAACTATTCTAGTACCTCAGAATAGATTTTTTTTCATTGTTTATGAAGGTCTACGATTCTATGGATTGAATATGTTAAATTGTTCATCTTAATTTTACTTTCCAGTTTGTCGTTCACGTTTTTTAGTCTGAAATTCTACAATTTTAGGTAATACTGAAATTCGAATTATTTTTCTAAGAATCGACACAGTTGATATCTTGATTTAAATAGATATACATATATATATATATATATATATATTTATACATACATATGTATGTGTGTGCATTCATAGAATTATCTTGTATGGTCTTTACAAAATTGTAGAATTAGAATAGTGCCTAGAAATTTAATCATACCCAATGTCATTTACGTATTTAACGAGTCTCTAATTAACTCAATCATGTCGAGAATTAAACTTAAATTCCTTACGAGCTTGTAACAATCCAATAAATATTTAATCTACTTAATTATGGCTAGATTATTCCGTTACCTTTGGTGCTTTATTTATAATACTTCTCTTCTTCTTTTGTAAATTTTTAACCTACTCTTCAATTGATTGTTGAGCATTACGAAGTTCTCTCTTTTCTGCTTCTTTCTTTCCCATTTTCTTGCTTTTCAGTCATGTATCAGAGCGTTGTAACTTCTGATTCTGATGATTTATTTTTTGGAGAGCAAGAGTGAAAATGTTCGAATTTTGATGAAGATGATATGATTAGATGACTTAGTAATCTGTATTTGAAGTTATATTTTTCCCCCAAAACTGATATTTATATTATTTATCAGGAATACAAAGAAAAACTAATAGTCGTAAAGATTGATCATGACTCGAATCCTCAACTAATTGAAAAGTACGAGGTTTATGGCTTGCCAACTTTGATCCTCTTCAAAAATGGGCAAGAAGTTCCAGAAAGCAGGAGAGAAGGTGCTATTACAAAGGTAAAGCTTAAAGAGTACGTTGATACTCTGTTGGAGTCGGTCTCTGTCACATAGTTTCTTTAGAAGTTTCTTCACCAGCAATGTTGTTCTCTTCTTCAAGTTGCAACACGGCTGAGAACATGTGTGAGTAGGAAAAAGTTCTTTTCCATTTGTTCTATTCTTGCGATCTACGACATGGTATGTAATTCCATCCTGCTTGTATATTTTGAGCTGTTCCAAGTGTGAAATTATTGAAAAACTAGATGTAAGCCATATCAGTCGATCAAAGTTTCTACGTTTGTGGCACTTCTGGTTCTCTTAGATAGTCTGTGTGTAGAGCACTCTCTATACGGTAGCAACATAGAGCATGGTATTCGATCTATTTCATGTTGAAATTAGTCCTGTAATATGCACGGTCAACAGGAACAGTGTGTGTTAAAAAACATGAAAACGAACACGAAAAAAGCAAAGATAAATTTCATTTCATGATTCTATTATTTGTATATCTATGGACAGGAGAGCAAAATCTAATGAACAAGAACATAATGTGTGACCTTGCTTGATGTGCATGCCCTCTCCTTAATTATTGTACCTGATTAGTTGAGGACCTTGTTAGACATACACCAAAACTAGAACTTAATCTATTTGGTGACCTCATCGTCTGGGATATATTTTCCCCAGAACCAAATTTGTATGATATTTAATTTACTTAAAACTCTGAAGATGTCAATATAATTTACCCATAATATAGTGTATAAACTAATGTTAAAGTTCTGTAAACATTGTCATTGTAAGTTGTACCATCTGTCCCGTTAGTCCGACACCAAATCAAGAATTAGGTCTAACTCTTGTACCACAGTAACTAGTTGGTTGCAAAATTGGGGGTGGGGGCACTTGCCCACTAAGCCTCTTAGCTACCCCACTAAGCCGCCTTTTAGCTAGTTCCGTCTCTGCTGTCATCCAAATGAAAGTGGAGACTGATCATTGCATCTAATGATAAGATTCCAACCCACCAATCCTTGGCTTGGTTAGTTTGAATGAAATTGATAGCGAAAATAAATATTATTGGATGAGAATAAGAATAGCCACATACTAAGATGGCGATGGCGTGTTTTGTTTTTAACTAACTAACAAGTGTCGAGATTTCCCGAATTTTCTGGGCTACCTATCATTTCAAAACCTTGATAAAGTTCAATTACTTCATTTGAGATAAACCTAATAGCTAGGTCAGAGAGGAGAGGAAGGGAAACAAGATTTCCTCACTGAATGTAGCAAGGAAGAGAGACTTGAGAAGAAAAGAAATCAAAGGGTCTGTCATCAAGACAATAAAGCTTCAACTGTGAGATCTTTTGGTTTCTTTTCACCCTAGTTTGGCGCTACAATGGCAGGAGGAGGTGGTGTTGTTCAAAATGGTTCCAAAGAGTATGAGGGCCGTGTCACCGCATTCGTGGTGGTCACGTGTTTTGTTGCCGCCACCGGTGGTCTCATCTTCGGCTACAACATTGGAATCTCAGGTCGTTACATATATATGCCTTGGTGGTTCTGTGATCATGTTGTTTAAAAAAAAACGTTTTGAATTTATGTAGTTTTTAACAGAGTTCTTCGTTAAATCCTATGAAGCACGGACACTCCTCCCAGGGGTCCCGTGCCAGTGTCGGACACTTTTCGGACACCGACACCCGTGTCCGAGGCTCGGACACGTGTCCGACACTTCTGTGAAGTGTCCAAATATTATTTTTTATTGGACACGCGTGTCCAAGGCTCGGACACACGGTCTGACACTTCTGTGAGACAAAATTTATTTTCTCTCACTCCTCTCTCAGTCTCTCATCTTCTTCAATTATCTCTCTACATGAACAAGATATATATATATATATATATATATATATATATATATATATTTAAGTTACGCGAACAAGATTTTGTGAAAGACTGGAAGTATATATGTTTATTCATATACATATTTAGTTCATTATAGCTATGTCTCTTCTGCACATCTTCGTTTGGAATTTGGATCAACTTTATTTTTTATTTATTTTCTGTTTTGTCTTGTCTATATTTTTCTTATAACAGAGATGAAATTATTGAAATTGATTATGTTCTTTGCTATTGTTTTATTTACCTGTACAAGATTCTAGTAATTATATTTTAAATATATATATATATATATATAATTTTATGAGCGTATCCCTACCGTGTCCGTGTCGTATTTTTTTGAAATTTGCCGTGTCGCCGTATCCGTGTTGTGTCGTACCCGTGTCCCGTATCCGTGTCTGTGCTTCATAGGTTAAACCCTATTACTTGTGCTTTTTTTTCCCTTTAATTAATATGTTTTGTCTGCATGAAAATTATAATAGAATGCCTGATTTATAGTGAATGCATGATTGTACATTCAATGTTATGCAGGAGGTGTGACATCCATGGATGAATTCTTGAAGAAGTTTTTCCCATCAGTGGACCTGAAGGAGAAAAATCTCTCTGGTCACCATTATAATCAGTACTGCAAATTTGATAGTCAGATACTTCAACTATTCACCTCTTCGCTTTACATAGCTGCACTGATAGCTTCCATCTTTGCCTCTGCAATAACAAGGGTCTTCGGCCGGAGGGTCTCCATGCTTTTTGGAGGGACTGTGTTTCTTGCTGGCGCTATCCTTAATGGTCTTGCCAAAAATGTTGCAATGCTTATCGTTGGTGTTTATTGCTAGGTGTTGGTGTTGGATATGCTAATCAGGTAAACAATGATGGATTTTTTTTTTTTTAAATAAATAATGTCCAACAAAAAACTCTTTAGTCTTGTTAAACCTAAATTTAGCCGATCATTGTTGACACAGTCTGTGCAGGTGTATCTATCAGAAATGGCACCAGCAAAAATTAGAGGTGCACTCAACATTGGCTTTTCAATGGCTATTACAATCGGTCTTTTCATTGCCAACTTTGTGAACTATGGCACTTCCAAGCTCAAGGGAGGAAACGGTTGGAGAATTTCCTTAGGTCTCGCAGCTGTCCCTGCCATCGTGATGACACCGGGAGCTTTTTTCCTGCCAGACACTCCCAATTCCCTTATAGAGAGAGGTGAAAAGGACAAGGCAAGAGGGATGCTGCAGAAAATCAGAGGCACTGAACATGTTGACGCTGAGTTCCAAGACTTGGTTGAGGCGAGCGAGGCTGCAGAGCAAGTGAAACACCCCTGGAAGAACATCATGCAGCGGAGATATAGGCCTCAACTTGTCATGGTCCACCTCATACCGTTCTTTCAGCAACTCACCGGCATCAATGTCATCATGTTTTATGCTCCTGTTCTTTTCAAGACACTGGGCTTTGGTAACAATGCCTCCCTTTTGAGTGCTGTTATAACTGGCCTTATCAATGTATTTGCTACATCGTCGTCAATCTTTTGTGTTGACAAGTTCGGGAGAAGGGCATTGTTCCTTGAAGGTGGCATTCAGATGCTCATTTGCCAGGTATTTGTTCATCAATATGAAAATGATATTAATTTAACATTCATAATGTATATGGTTGTGTATATTTGAATTGTTTCATTATAGATTGCTGTAGGAGCCATTATAGGCAAAGTGTTTGGGTCGCTAGAGTAGGAAGCATCAGCAAAGGGTATGGCAATCTTGCATTGGTGCTTATATGTTTATACGTATCCGGGTTCGCATGATCTTGGGATGCATTGGGGTGGTTGGTACCAAGTGAGATCTGTCAATTTGAGATTCGATTGGCTGGGCAGTCCATCAACGTCTCCATGAACATGTTCTTCACCTTTGTCATAGCTCAGGCCTTCCTCTCCTTGCTCTGCACCATGAAGTTCGCTCTCTTCTTCTTCTTTGGCGGATTTGTGCTCATAATGACCGTTTTCGTCTACTTCTTCTTGTCCGAGACCAGGAACGTCCCCATTGAAGACATGAACAGAGTGTGGAAGGCACATTGGTTCTAGGGGTGGCAATTCGTGTTGGCGTGTCGTGTTCGTGTCGACACGATTACGACACGGACACGATTAGGGTTGACACGAACACGACACGATTATTAATCGTGTCGAAGACCCTTGACACGAACACGATACGATTATTATACGTGTAACACGACATGACACGCATAACATGTTTAATAAATGGGTCAAGATTTGACATGACACGAAAAGACACATTTAAGTCATTTTCGACACGAATACGACATATTTTACTAAATGGGTCATTTTTGACACGAACAAGACACGTTTATCTGACCCGAATACGACATATTTTGCTAAATGGTTCATTTTTTACACGAACACGATACGTTTATCTGACACGTTTAGTTAATCGGGTTAATTGTGTCATAATCGTGTTTACAGGGTCAAACACGAACACGACACGTTTAGTTAGCGGGTCAATCCGTGTCGACACGATTATGACACGAACACGATTAACCCAAGCCCTAACCCGCTTATCTCGTGTCGTGTTAGCGTGTCGTGTCAAATATTGCCACCCCTACATTCAATTGTATTTTTGACTAATTTTGAGCTTAAAAAGTTAATAATACTCTTACATTAATTTATCATTTCATTACAATACATGAGACGCTCTCTACTTCTCTTCTTTTAATAATACTCTTGCATCATATTGGTGCAATACATGAGACTGATGATCTGTTTTTTTGGAGAGCAAGAGTGAAAATGTTCGAATTTGATGAAGACGAAGATATGATTAGATAACTTGGTAAATATGAACTTGTAGTTATATTTTTCCCTCCAAAACTGATATTTGCTGTTACCAGGAATACAAAGAAAAATTAACAGTCGGTAAAGTCTATACAACCCAAGTCAGCCCCCATACTCTTTGTGAGTCTCCCAAAGGAGAAACCCTTCTTCTTCATGCTAGTGACGAAAATTCACAAACTTATGTTCCGAGGACCATTACTTGGAATGAAGTCACCTTCCCGACAGAGTGGACTCTCGAGCATGCAGCCCCTCCTTTAAAGATCGAGCATAAAAGGTTGGAACAAATATCTCAATTTTCTGATGGCACGGTAAAGGTTAGATTTAACTCCAACAGGCCCAATAGACTTACTATCCAAGAAATAAAAAGATCTAGACCTTCTTTCCAAGAAATAGAAAGTTTTAGATCCTCTTTCTCTCATGCTACTCCCTCAAACTATTCAAAAGCCCCTTCCAGAAAATCATTTTCAGGAATGCCTACAAGGTATCCAAACCTCGTTGGTGTCAAAAACAAAGAAGTTGCTAACCCGGTCTACCAGGACAATGTTAGCATACAGACTGAGGAAGAAGACATCCATCCTCTTCGCAACACTCCTTTACCTAC